AGCCGCGCGGCACGGGGTTCGAACTGCCGGCATTTAAAAATGGCGCCGGCCAGCTTCATGCAAATGAAGCCCGGGAAATTCGAATCCCGGGCTTCATTTACAAGTGCGGTATGCCTACATTACCCTCCTAGTTCGAATTAGGAGGGTAGTGTAGACATACCCAGGGAGACCCGGAGCAGCTTTACTCGCCCCGGAGGATGCGGTGGCGGGACCGCTGCACTCTGGGCGGTCCCGCCGCCCGCGAGCTCCAGGGCGAGAAAAGCCCCGTTCGTAAGTGCGGATCCGACATAAGTGCGGATCCGTGTAAGTCGGGGACTGCCTGTATATTTTTTAAACTTCTAAATCTAAGTAAGTAAGCCATAAGGATTAGCTAAAGTAATTTTTTTTTGTCCAGCAACATCCAACATAGCAAACAGCTTGGGAATTTACATGTTAAATTATACTTATACTAAAAGGCATTGAAACAGTCTTGAAGAATGATGCATTGCAAAGTGAATTTAAATTACTAACCAGCTAATCCATTTTGTCCTTCAAACATATCCACTTATTCATCCACATCATTTTCTCCTAATAAGCAGTTTTTCTTATGATGTTTCTTGTAACTAGGTCCTGCATCATCTTCTTGCACTGCTTATACTTAGCACATTTTCCTTTTTTACCCAGAGCATGAATTTCTTCAAAATATTCCCAGATAGGGTCTCTTGTGACCAGAAGCCGGGACAGCTTTTCTGTGGAAAAAGTGTGGGGAAGTGTAGGAAGCTGTTTCTGTGTTAAATGTCTTCCTTTTTTTTTTTTTTTTTCCCCCCAGTCCATGCCACTATTCCTTTCCGTGCTGCCTCCGTTCTTATAAGTTTTCTCTGTCTCAATTAACTCCTCTGTTGGGTCCAGGTCCATCACCACATAAGCACAAAACAAACAATCCTATCCAGCTTTTCTGTCTTTTAGTTGGCTGAAAAATAGAAAATGAAAGCCTAGAACTTTCAAGAAGCAAGCTCTGGTAGTTGGGCTGGATAGACTGGAGCAGGGGTGGGCCATAATTTTTGGCCGGGGACTACTTCAAAAATGTTTGAAGTAGCCCCGTGCCACCCTGGAAGAGGCGGGGCCTAAATGGGAAGGGGCGGGGCTACCCTACCCCCAGACCATGATTAGTCTGGGGGTGAGGGAGCCCCTTTGCCCCCCCTTCCCACAAGGTACTCATGTCCTGGAAGATGCTTGGCATGCTCCCCCCACCCCCAGGCCAATCAGGGCCTGGGGGCGGAGGAGCGCAGGAAGCCTCTTCCTGCCCTGTGAGATGCCGCATGCTGCTCACAGGGCCGGGGCAGGGTGAAGGAAGCTTCATGCAGCTTCCCTGCCCCCAGGCCCTGATTGACCTGGGCAGGGAGCACGTGAAGCCTCCTCTGCTCTCTCCCTGCCCTGTGAGCAGCACGCAGTGCTTTGAAGTGCTGTGTACTGCTCACAGGGTGGAGAACGCTTCAGGCGCTCCTCCGCCCCCAGACCCTAATTGGCTTGGGGGCAACAGAGCAGCGGGGCCTCCGTGGGCTGGATTCACCCACTTGGCAGGCCGGATACGGCCCGTGGAGGCCCTTTTTGCCCACCCCTGGACTACAGCCATTAATTCGTTTTTTATTAGACTATATGTATAGCATGTTTGGGATAAATTTAATTATAACTGTTTTTAATGAGGGAGGTAGTATTTTCTCGATTTTAAAAATAAATAAATAAATACATTTTTTTTTCTATGGGTGCTCCAGCACCTGAGCGTGCCTGGAGTCAGCCCTATGCTGGGCTCAGTATGAGAAGTCTGCAGCATGGCTGGTATTAAATTTTGAATGAAACACAATCTGTGTGTTTGTGGTTAGCTATCCAAAGAAAGATTCTCTTATCCCTGAATAGTGGACTCAATATTGCAACATTCTAAGAGGGGTGACTTACAGTTCTTCTGGCCCTTTCAATCCTCCACCTACGATGCCTAGATGGGGCATGCCTTATAACACATTTGCTATGTCTACACTACAAAGTTTTTTTTCAGAAAAACTGCCGTTTTTCACAAAAAAAACCCTTCACTTATGTCCACACTGCAATCGTGTTCTTTCGAGGAAAATAAAATCGGAAGAATGAAGGGGTTTTTCTGACATTCCTACGAGGAAGAAGCCTTTTTCTGAAAGAGCTCTTTTGGAAAAAGGCATGTGTTGTAAGAGAAGAGGGAGTTCTTTTGAAAGAAGAGGCAAGAGGAAAAAGCACAGGTATGCTGGTGGCCACTCCATCCATAGTAATCACAGCTTAAATGTGAGATAGCAACACTGAATGGACACTATCTTTCGAAAAAGCAGGTTGCTTTTTCAATGTGCTTTGGCAGTGTGGATGCTTTCTTTTGGAAGAAGTGTTTTCCAGAAGAGATCTTCCGAAAACCTTCTTCCGAAAGAAGCCTGAAGTCTAGACATAGCCATTAACGGTGTGCAGTCATGGGAATTCACCAGAAAAGAGACAAAGTATAAATAATCTGGAACTGAGGGCAATGTGTTTGGCGCTCACATCTTTTGTACCTTGCAACCAGAACAATGTAGTGCAAGTCTTCATAAACACCACAGTAGCAGTGCATTATATGAACAAATACAGGAATTCTTTCTCTTTATCAATGCAAGGAAGCAGTTGTGTCAGTGTGATTATTTATTCCAGAGCTCTTTACCTGGTAAACAAGGACAGTAGATTGCTAGATCAAAGGAGCAGTGATGTAATTAAATTTAATGAATGGTTGTTAAAAATATCAATAACGGTAGATGAGATCTTTGCTCTACTAGGGTTCTCATACATACATTTATTTGCATCCAGACAAAATACAATGTGTCATAGATTTTGCTCAAGTGAGGGAGATATTGTCGATCCATATTGGATGCCTTTTTACTTGATTGGGGAAAAGGTCCACTTTACACTTATTTCCCCTTCCCTCTCCTTCAAAGGTGACAAAGCTAAGACAGGACAAAGCCAAAGAATGTTAATTGTCCTTGCATGGGCAAGGCAGCAGTGGTCCTTAAAACTACTCTGTGTGCATGCGTGCACACACACGCCTCTCTTTGTGACCAAAGACTTATTAAATTCTGCCCTTTTGTAGAGTTATCTCATGGACTACCTATTATTGTGCCCGATTGCATAGCCTCCTACAGGATTCTAATGTACCTTGGGAAATCTTGCACATCAGAAGTGCTGCAAACATTGATTAACTCTCTAGAAAGCAGTTTACTAGAAGGTGGTGGTATCTCAAGTAGAAGAAGTTTGTGAAATGGGGAAGTGAGAAATATAGCCCTCAGTAGCAGTAATTAAATCTATTCTTGAATGCTTTAATTGACTCATTGAAGTTTTTTTATATTCTCATTTGAAAGTTCACTCAACAGCTTTGGCTATGCAAAATGCACTGTTAGATAACTCCGTCTTTGCACATAATAGAGTTAAGGAATTTATGAAGGAGCTTGTCAGTTGGGATGTCAAGAAGTAGTCAACTAGACAATTATCAAATAAGCCTAGGCTTATTTGTTATCTTGTTGACTACTTGCATCTCTCCTCCCCCCCACATTGTTGTCTCCATATCAGAGGCAGCAAAGGGAATTAAACAGCTGAATTTTTCTAGTATACACAAGGTCTCACATGTTAATCTAATGGTAAGTCTTTTATTTTACCAGTGGCATTTACTCTTTATAGTGTAGTTTGCCAAGTTCCTCATACTGGCACATTTTAAAACCCAAGTCAAAATGTTGTAAAACTCCACTTTTGTCATTTACAGTAGAGGCTTACAGTAACATCAGTAAGTGAACCTGACCTTTGGAAAGGTGAAAGATAAGTAAATAGACATGCATCGTTTATCACAAATACTGTAATCTGTTTTTCAGAGGTGGTTTTTTTTTTTTTTTCGTTTTGGTAGTGGTTTGAGGGGAGTCTGTGCTCTATACAGAGTAGACAACAGCAATTCTTTTAACTAATGAAATAGCTGGTCATTTGCACATACAGATTCTGATCCCTACAACTCCCAAGTAAGGCACTGATTGTGCAGCTAGATCCATGTGGGTTGATCTATGTGGCATCCTGTTCAAGTGAACAGGATTCCTTGTGGGCTCAAGAGTCTGCTGCACAGACCTAATTGCAGAATTGAGGCTTGTATTAACAGGTGTTCCACGTCTTAGAGCGCTCTCAGTCTCAGGCACAAAATGGTTCTCAAGTCTTCTCTCCCCAATAAGATACAAAACAAACTTTCAGAAAAACAAAAATCTATTTATTTCACTAGAGCAAAAGTCTGCATGCTAGCAATAACTTTTGGCTAACCTCAGATGTACATGGGAGATCCTAGTTTTCAGATTCAAGTGTGTTTTAAGTAAATGCTTTGTACTTGTTTTCTTTACATAGTGACAGTCCTAATGCTGTTCATGAAGTGGAAAAGTGGTTGCCTCGACTGCATTCGGTTGTCATAGGACCTGGTTTAGGTAGAGATGACGTGCTACTTGAGAGTGCTAAGGTAATGTATACTTAATATTTTGCTCTACATCTTTGTTATTGAATTTTATAAACCACGTCTGCAGTATTTGTGCAACTAAACAAATATTTTTGGGTGAGGTTACTGTGTAGGAGTTTTAATGGAGCCATTTAAAATATAGTTTGAAAGCACCATCTGTAGTAAAATTACTGGCTATAAATGAATCAAATCTGCCTTCAAATGAAACTTATTTATTTTTGTTGTCACTGACAATAGTTGAGATCTGTTAGTCCTGAAATGTGAATACCTATAATTTAAAGACAAAAGTTAAAACTGGGAGTTGCCTAACCTTTGTAGTGAGGATCTTAGGGCTTCTCTACGTGACAAGTTGGCAAGCCACAGTGTGAATCTACAGCATGCTAAACTGCCAGACATTAACACACTTCATGACATTGCTACCACACATTAATAGTTACAAATAAGCTTTGATGTACAGTAAAACTCCATTGGCCTGGCATCCAATGCTCTGGCACTCCTGATGGTCCGGCACCATCTGGAACCCGGAAGTGCTCCGGGCAGCTGGACAATTGGAGCTGCTCTGCGCCCGGCTTCCCCGATTCAGCCACTGCTGAAACTGACCAGTAGCTGAATCGGGGAAGCCGGGGGCAGAGCATCTGGGGTGCTGCCGGGTTGGTCCTATAGCGCTGCCCCTCAGGGCTGCGGGACCAACCCGGCACCACCCCCAGCTGTTCTTGGGGACGTCTGGGGAAGAGCAGCTGGGGTGCTGCTGGGTTGGTCCCGCAGCGCCGACAGATGGCGCTAAGGGACCAACCCGGCAGTACCCCAGCTGCTCTGCCGCAGGCGTTGCCAATTCAGCAGCTGCTGAAACTGACCAGCAGCGGCTGAATTGGGTATGCCTGGGGCAGAGCCGGACTATCGGAAGGGGGGGCTATGAGGGGTCTGGGATGGGGTGGGGGGGATGCCACCCCAGACCTCTCATAGCCCCTCCCTTCCGATAGTCTGGCATATCTGATGATCTGAAACCCCCTGGGTCCTAAAGGTGCTGGATTATCGGAAGTTAACTGTACTCCCATTTCAGATAGAAGGCAGGCTTGTGCACTGCAGATGCATCCCTTGGCTTGCTGTACTAATTTTTAAGCTGGCTCGCCATGTGTACCAAAACCTGCCTACCCCTACCTCCCGTGTGCTACTGCCTCTGATATAAAGGCATCAGCGCAGGGGGGAGGGGCAGTCAGCTTGGTGGGAGCCGGCAGAGCTTCCTACAAGCGCTGGCTCCCACCTGCCGCCTCCTTTCTCCCCACCCCCCTCTCGTGGTACTGCCTTTGTGACTTGCTAAATTGAACACTGGAATATCAACTTCAGGAGCATTGATCTTCCCAGAAGTATAGACAAGCCTGGTTCAGTACAGGGTAGAAAGAGGCTGCTTCTCAGTCCCCTTCTGTGTTGTTTGCTTAGATTTTCTTAAATGTTGTAATAATCTGAGGCTCCAGTGTGAATGTTGTAAGGGCAGGTGAATCCAAGTCACTTATTTAGTGAGGTTTAGTGTTTCCAGCAACATCACTGTGCTAGAGAAAAGTGCTGTTTTTTTGCTTCAGTAGTAAATTTAACTTGTGTAGTTTTTTCTTCTTCCCAAGGGGAAATAAGTAACTACACCAATTAGCCATTTAAATTTGTACTGAGGGGTGAATTTTTTTTTGTATAAACGTTTCTTTACATATTTTTGGCTATTGTAGGTAAGCTGCCTTGTGAATATAAGAATGGGATATAGGCTTGTAATTATTCCTTATTTTTCTTTGACTTCAGTGAAGACCTTAAGGAAGAGGGCTGTAAGATCTGTTCCTCTATCATAGGAGAGTGGAGGACTGAGGCTTCTGTCCATCTGTCTCTTTACTGTATGTAATCTTGTCTGTGCTTCATTGCAGGCAGCCAGTCGGCAAGGGGGAGCTGTTTTTTTAACTGGCTTCCTGTGCTCCTGCCTCTGATACATAGTGGTTAATCAGCGGGTAATAAAATAGTCGTGTAACATCCCTACTGGAAAGAATTGTTAGGCTTCACTAAAATCCATGAACATCATGTAGCATAAACTGGAAACTTTTACATTTGTCTTGTGGGGAAAATCTGTTCAGTTGGATTAGATAATATCTGGGAAGTCAGTGTATGTGTGTGTTCTGATTTTAGGCTTTTACCTTGTGATTGAAATAAGCTACATTATTGCTTCAACTAGAGTTGGATGGGTTAAGGGGGATAGCTAAATATGTTCCCCAAATGGTGTATTCTCAGATGTGAATTTTGGTGGAAACGTTAATTTGACTGATTTGAACAGCAGTTAAGAAACTTCTTGCCTCCTTGTTCCCTGCATTTCAAGCATTCCTGTGGATGTTTTTCCTCCCTCCTATTAGAGCCTATGTCAGAGTTGGGATGAACTCTAATAAGCTTATTAACATATCATCTAGGTTCTTTTATTATTGTTAATGTTTTCTCTCTAATTCTTTGCCCCTTTTAAAGTGGGCTTGCTTACAAAGAGTTGTGTGATAACTTTTCTTTGCTATTAATCTGTTAGCCATCTCTGGGGGGGGAGGGGGAGGAGGAAGCAGTTGTCCTAGGACAGCCTGACTGGGAATGACACAGTAAAGGTATATGTTCAGCCTGGGGATATTCTGGTCAGAAGGGAGACCCAAAAAAGATTACAGCTTGGGAAACAGGAAGCCAAGAGTTTTTGCCCTTGCTGAGGTTGTAAGGGGGGAATACAGGCAAGGTTCCCTCTAAGCTGTGTGGCTGCATAGCCCCACAGCTGCTTAATCAGCCCCACTTAGTCAGGCAACTCCATGGTGGAGCCCTGAGCCTCCTGCTGGGCAAGACTGATTAAACAGCTGTTAAGGCTGTGCTTGCCATGCATCTTAGAGGGAGCTGTGGATACAGATGCAGTTGCCCTTAACCATTAAAGCTCTTAGTTGGGGTTTCCAAGCAAATTCACTGGCAAAGTTTTTTCTTTTTGAATTCAAATAGAAGATTAGAGGTGGGTTTAGCTATACTTGTTCTCTGGAGGAGTAATTGGTATACAGTTTCTCTAGATATACTTTAGTGAGTAGGAGTTTCTGGTTTTTTTTTAATTTCCTCCAAACCATCTTATGTTTTGCGCTTTTTCTCTGCCAAAGACACCACTCCTTACATCTTTTAAGCTACAAGGCAGTGGTAAACTTTTTAATGCATTCTGTACACGTTAAAATTAATCTCTTAACTGGCTTCACACAGTTTGTATATTGAAGGCCAAATATTTTCATAACAGATGCCTACCTTACCCATGGTTTTCAGAATCCCTCAGCAGGGGTACCTTTCTTGTTTCACTATAGGCAACATTAGGAATAAATCAGAGGGAACAAAGCAATTCCTTCTGATAAAAGATTAATGCAAGTAACTGTACTTTATCCAAAACTTCGGTTAATTAGATGTAAGCAATAGGGCAGTGGTCCCCAACCTTTTCAGGTTGCCGGGCGCCAGGGGGCGTGGCCGTTCGCCCGCTGTGCGCCAGGGGGCGGGGGCCCCCCCCATAGCCACGCGCCCGGGGCTGGCCCCCCCCCCAAGCGCCGCGCGCCCGGGGCCGGCGCTAGCGCTCTCTCCCCAAGCGCCGCGTGCCCGGGGCCGGCGCTAGCGCTCTCTCCCCAAGAGCCGCACGCCCGGCGCTAGCGCTTTCTCCCCCCCCATGCGCCGCGGGGGGTGAATCCGCGGCACCACCGGGGCCGGCGCTCACCGTGCGACACGCGCCCGGGGCCGGCTCCGGCACCATGCATGCGCCACGTGCCTGGGGCCAGGCCAGCCCTGAGCACTTGGCGGGTGCACACAAATGCCCCCGCGGGCGCCATGGCATAGACATGATAGACATTTATCTAACCTACTCTTAAATATCTCCAGAGATGGGCAGTGGCCAGCTGCTCAGCCACCAGGGAGAGAAGATATCAGGAAAAAATGTCTCTCTGGATGGCTTCAGAGAACTGCTCCAAAGTACACTCCATTATCATCATCATCTTTTAAAAAAAAAAAAACTGTTCATAAAACACAGCTCATAGTGACGCCCTAGTGGGTTATCACTTATTCTAACTTTCAATAAAGTGTTTAGTATTAAGGTGCCCAGATTCAAGATCTTCCCAGGCCCATACACAGGGAGGGTGCAAAGGGTGAAAATGCACCCCGTCACAGTCCTTCATATTCTGCCAGGGGGCCAGTGCCGGGCACGTAGGGAAGGGAACGTCGGGGTGGTGCATTGCTGCAGCCTCCCTTCCCCGTGCTCTGGCTGGCCAGGAGAAAGCCGAGAGGTGCGCTACCCCTGCCCCATGCTCTGGTTTCCTCACCTAGGAGAGAGGCTGGGAGCAGGGGGTTACAAGATACCCACCAGTTCCTCCCACAGATTGCACCCTGCCCCACAGAACTTCCTGCGTAGGGGGTCTGTTCCATCCACTAAGGTTTGTTTTCAGTCTCACTTATTGACTTTTTCTCCCTCCTCTCATTCTGATTAGCAGAAACTGCCTCTAAAAGATTGCTTTCCAGTTAGCTCTTTTAACTACATGGTAGTCTCTATTATAAATTAATGGTGGCTAAATGCACATAATCGGGTTGCAATTGGCTTGATCAGAATCGGGGATACACACACCCTGCAAATCCAGGTAACACCAAAATTGCTGATATATGTTGCATTTAGGCTGAGGCTTGGGCTGGAGCCCAGGCTCTGAGATCCTCCTTCCTTGCAAGGTCTTACATGCTCAGGCTGGAGACTGTACTCTGTCTCCATGGCAATTAGTTCTGCAGCCCTGTGAGCCTAAATCAACTGGCCACAGCAAGCTGTGGTCTTTTATTGCAGCATTGGCACATTTCTATAGTCAAGCTGGGTTCATTCTTTCCATCTTTTAAATCTTTACTATTAGTAAAGGTTCTACAAGCCCCATCAAGTCCTCAGCAGCACACCTGCTACACTCCAGAGCCTTGTAAATAAATCTATTTTTGGTGCAAAAGACTGAATGAAGTACTTAACTCATTCTGTCTCCATTTTTTTGCTCTGCAAGTTTAACAACTACAACTGATTACAATCTTCTATTACTACTACTACAATCTATTGCTTTTGTTACTAAAAGCAGCAGGTATAAAAAAGGAACAGATCTGTTGTTGATCAAGATGATGTCATTTTTACATAGGTTCTTCTCAGAGTATGTGCTGCTTATTAGGGATGATAGTGTATTTTATTATTATGTATTTGCTTACTTTATTAGGTGAACTGATTAAAGCAATCAAATACAGTTGTGAAGGTATATAAGAACAAATATGGCTTCTATAAAGAAAAATCATGCTGTGCAAATCTAGGTTTCTGTTTCTCAACAAAATAGATAATGGAGAGTATGTTATGTTTCATTTGGACTTCCATAAAATCTTTGAAAGGAAGCAAAACGTAGGAATGCACAGTTTGCAATATGCCAAAAGATTAATTCCTAGATTATAAAACTGGAAGGGGTCACTGTGAATATTCTGACTTCCTACGTAATACAGTCAATAGAACTGTTCTGAATTGATTCCTGTTTCAACTAGAGCATGTGTTTCAGAAAATTGGGAGGGAAGGGTGTCTCACCACTGTTGAATATAGTTACTAATGATCTAGGAGCATGGGCCAATAGTCTGGTGGTAAAGATTGTAAATTGTACACATTTATTTAGATTACTTGAGATGAGAAGATTAAAGAACTCTTTTGGATCCTAACAAAGATGAACGAACAGTATGAGAGCATATTGAAATTAACAAAGGTTAAACATGTTGGAAGGTTCTAAATTGACTGGAAGCATTCAAGAAAAGTCTCCAGGTAGACTGTTCACGCCAAACATTGGTTTGATGACCAGCAGCAATCAAACAAAACTAAATGTTAGGGTATGAAAAAATTGGGCATTGAGATGGGGTTAAAAGACTCAGAGAAAATTGGTAGTCGAATGGAAAGCTTAGAATTGTTTAATGTGGAGAAATGAGTTAGTGATCACATTATAATGTATATAAAATAACATTCTAGACAAGAAAAATTGGAAACTCTTTATTTGCTTTCCTTTCACAAGTGGCAAGGACTAGTGGCAAGAAACTTTGCAAATAAGTCCACCCTTCTTGTGTGTGTTTAGAACCATTCTGCTAAAGTAAAATCTCCACTTTATAAGTGAAAGTACACCTCATGTCTGTCTTGTGACATAAGATATGTTGTTGGTTATGCTCAGAAACTGACTAATTTCTGTCTTGTTCAGCAGATATATTTCTTGAATGTGTTTTGTCATCATCTTACTCCTTTTCTGAACAAGGATGTCTTTACGGCATTTTACTTATTAGCTTTGTGATCTGCATTATAACCCTGGGTATCCGCATATGTGGGTGCATATATCTGTTGCTCATTTATGTGGATGTGGATCCCAATTTTGTATCTGGAACCTTGCATATTTGTGTATATCCGCTTTATAACCACGCGTATCTGCATCTGCTGAAGCATATATCCGTGGCTCATTTTTGCAGATGCAGATATCAATTTTGTATCCATGCAGGGCTCTAGTTATGTGTGAATCAGAAACAGCACAGCTTATCTTTAAAACCTTAGACTAAATTTGCATTGCTAGCAAATTACACTATATATCTGTCTGTAAAATGCACACATTTGATATGGAAGTGTCTTCTGTCATCATCTAACCAAGTTTTTAATTCTCTGAAATGGTGATCGGTATGGCCAGTCTTATTAGACAGCATTTTTAGACTGAAATAAATTGCTGAATTTTCTTTAGATCTTTTGGGAGTTAACATGACAAGCATCTTACAATCATTTGCTTTTCTTGCAGGGTATTATAGAAAAAGCCAAGATCAAAGGAATTCCAATTGTTATTGATGCTGTAAGTATTTTTGTCATACGTTTATTTGTCTGACATTTAAAAAGCTATTAAATAAATTCTTTTTTTGACTGTCTTGTGCAGGATGGATTATGGCTCATTTCCCAACAGCCTTCTCTTATTCAAGGTTACCAGCGAGCCATTCTTACTCCAAACTATATGGAGTTTAGCAGACTTTATGAAGCTATGGTGAGCTGCTGATTGTTGTGGTTGTTTTTTGTTTGGTTGTGGTTTTTTGGTTATCCATAAGCATGTATTTGTTCTACATGTCAAAAAATATATGTTGATATTGTATCAAATGCTTTCATACTATTCCTTATCTACGTAAAAAGTACTGTGAGGATAAATAAATTTGCATGTGATAGTTGTCATGATAACACTGGATCATAGCTTGGCACATCTTTAAAGCAAGCAAAAAAGAGAGACCGTTTTGTAACAATTTTCTTTTGGCACAAAGTGGATGGAAAGAATATAAAAAATTAGACTAAAAGTAACATTTTGTTCATAGACATAATTGCTTGATTTTCCATTAATGGTAAATAATTCTGTATGGAATTATTGTATTTGTAGCTAAGAGACCCTGTGGATAGCAATGATCACCATGGGTGCGTGTTACGGCTCAGTCAAGCCATGGGGAATTTGACAATTGTTCAGAAAGGAGAACGAGATCTTATTTCTGATGGAGAAAAAGGTAAGTGAAGTCTTTATCTGTAAAATTATCTTTTTAAATGTTGTGGTCAATCCATAGCTGATGCATTTGATTCAAGGACTGACTGATAAGCACAGCACTTGAGATGTCTCATTTGAAGCTTGTTACTTAACGGGTTTGATTTTTAGTGACTTTGGTGTGCAAGTTCTTAAACTTCTTTGTTTCTGTCTTGAAAATGGGTTTAGTACTGGTCTGCATAATATGGGTGTTTGGTGTTAAGAAGATTAATTTTTTGTGAAGTTCTTTAAAATCCTTAGAGGAAAGGAGTGCAGTTATAAGTTCAGTGTATTAACATACTATTTCCAGATGTAGTTAGTCAAGAGCAACTTCATGTTTCACTACATATTGATGTGACTGAGGAATGAAGATGTGTTTGGTGGTTCCATGGACTGCTTGGTCACCTGATGTTGCCCATCCTCTTATGAAGATCTGTAAACACTTTACCAACAATACTACTGACAGTGATATATATCATTCATGTCCATTGGACATAATGTATATGCACACATTTTAGACTAGCAATATTTTTGCTAAATTCTTTGTAGATAACAGCTGTCCCTTCAAAAATGTTTGTTTAAAAAAAAATTAAATTGCCACTTTAGAAAAAGGAGCTGTTGGTTTGATGCCAAGGTTTTCTAGTAATCAATAAAAAATTAATTCAAATAATGCGGTAATACCTGACACACCATGATGTTTTATATAAGGTTTAAGAGATAGCTAAGGTCTAACATGAGCTGGTGTGAGCTATCAATGTCAATCTAGTGTATATGCCATTTTTTTAATAGTTACTTTGTATACAGGCAGTCCCCGGGTTACATGGATCCGACTTACATCGGATCCCTACTTACAAACGGGGTGAGGCAACCCCGCACTAGCTGCTTCCCCCCAGCAGACCAGGGAGACGCGAAGCTAGCGCCCCCCCCCAGCAGACCAGGGAGACCCGGAGCGGCTTTTCTCAGCAGACACCTCAGCTTGAGAATAAAGGACTGAGGGAAGTGAGGTGTGGGAGAATAAAACTGAGCTCTGGAGAAATGTTTGGCTAGAGTTTCCCCTACAATATGTACCAATTCCGACTTACATACAAATTCAACTTAAGAACAAACCTACAGTCCCTATCTTGTACGTAACCCGGGGACCGCCTGTATATGCTGTCAGTCAAAAATATTCTGACTTCCAGTTGTACAGCTGTCTTCTGGAAGTACCGTTAGTGGCCAACAGTGTTTTAGAGCTGTGTGGGATTTCTGCATTCCCCCCCCCTTTTTTTTTTTTTTTTTTTTTTTTTCTTATTACATATACGTAGGTGTTTTCCTGGATGGTGAAAAGTAAGGGAATAGCGCTGTTCTCCTTTTTGAAAATTGCCCATGCAGCTTCCCACTCCTTGCCTAAATGCATCCTCGGAATCTTCTAGAAGATGGGGCCACTCAGTGTTCACATGCTCGCCTCAGACAGGATTCAGAAGCTGTAAAAGAGGGGGTGTTCCAACTATTTTTCAGTGACTTTTGACCACCGGGTGTAGTGATCTCAGAGAAGGCTTGGTGTCTGAAGTTTCCTCATTGTTTCCTCCTTCCCCTCTCCCAGCACTATTCAGTGCTATTTATTTCATAGTTGTATAGCCAGTCACTTCGATTTTCATTTAAAAAAGAAAAAACAACTTTTTTCACTAAGTGTTATCTGAGACTCTACTGTGTTAGGTTGCTTCTCTTTCTTGTTATATTGATTCCATCAGACCATATATTCACTATTTTCCCTGTCTTGCCTTCTTTGACATCCCAGGCAGCATTGTTGATGTGGCTAAGAAAGCAGTTTTCAGGTCCTGGACTTAATACAGGGCTATGATGTCTGTTACAAATGTTCATGTTTGTCTGTCATGCCTGGTAAGATGTTATAACCAAGACAATTACTTAGTTTTCAAAGTGCATCTCAGACTCCTGTTGACAAAGACGTTCTTTGGACTTGGCCAACTGAATCTGAGGACTTTGTGTTTGGCAATCTTAAGAGATATCTTGATGCCACAGAACTGCTTCTCAAAATGGCATTGAGGAAGCTCAGTGCTGCAACTAAGAGTCAGTCTCCATGCCACATCCCTCCAAGATTTTTAGTCTTTCTTTCTGCTGCTTCATCTGTAACTCTAGTCTCTTGGTCTGTTGTAATTTTTTTCTTTTTTTATCAGAGGAGACAACACACGTGACGATTCCAGTCTGGGGAAAAACCATATAATCTGATTAGAACAGTGGATCCTGGGCACAGTTCCATGTTGTAAAAGATTTGTGCTCCTGCTGGCTACTTTTTTGGTTTGGGGTTTTTTTTTAGTTGCCATTTTCTAATAGTCTTTATCCCTTACCTTTCTCCTCCCAGATGTCTATTCTTTCTTATGCATTTAGCCACTAATCCTTATTGTTTAAATAAGCATCTAGACTTCATCCTTAATATTATTTCTTTCTTTCACATTTAGTGAAAAAAACCTAAAAACTAACTCTGAATATACTACAGAAATGGTAAAAGTTGGAATTTTGAAGATGGACTTTTAGGCTGCTTTGTGCTTAGTTGGTACAAAGATGAAAGCTTTCTCAGGATACAGCTGTCTGTATCAGGGCAAACTGTAGATTGATGAGCATTATGTTTTTAATGAGTACATTAGCTAACTGCATACTTCTCTTCAGGTGATTAAGGTAAATATATAGTCATGACAAATAGTCTTTTTCTTAGGTATTTGAATCTGAGTGAAAGACTAAAGAAGTGCAGTCTATTTAGCTTACTGTGGAACAAGTCACAGGATTACTTGATCAGAGTCTAAAACCTAGATGCAAAGATTTCTGATAGTAGAGAGCCCTTAAACCCAACAGAAAAAAAAGCATAATGAATTCCAGTGACTAGAAGCTGAAGATAGACAAATTCAGAATAAAATAAGACGCATGTTTTTAACATTAAAGTAATTAACCATGGGAACAATTTTCCTAGGGAATTCATGGATTTTTCACTCATTTGCAGTCTTTTTAAATCAAGGTTGGATATCTTTGGAAAGTGCTGGATTCAGAAGCCATTTGGTGCAGTTCTGTGGCCTGTTATTCAGGAGGTCAGATTAGATTATTTTAATGGTCCCTTCTAACCTGTGAATCTGTAAATTATTTATTTACATACATAGTTATGAGAAACCAGTAAACAAAATATTTAGTGTATCCTGGAGAGTGAGTTGTTGTAATGCTTTTAAAAGTATCTGCTTCAAGGTGTGCACTGCCTGCTGCCCAGTGAGCATAATTGGCAAGGCTTTGAATTAAGTTTTATACACATTTTTTCTTTTCTTTTGCAATTCTACATTATAGCCTGCTCTACAGTTGTTGACTTCCAGCTCTACAAAGATGTGCCCCACCATTCTGTTGGTGGGTGATATCAATACCACTACTGATCAGGGCAGGCGTGAGTACTCAACATAAGGGGAAAAGGTAAGTCAGCTTTTATTCAATATGGCACAGCTCTCTAAGGTTTTCTTTTTATTATTCTTTGGAGAACTGGGCAATAATAAAGCGTGGTTATACCGGTTTTTGTTCCTCACAAGTTTAAAATTTAGTCAGGTCCTTGAAGTGTCTGTATTATGACTTCTAAAAATTGATACATGTTTTCCTCCAGCACCATGTCAGTTATTGGCTTCTCTTCCTCAAGGCATCCTAGCGTGAAGACAGTCTGACAAGTAGCCTGCTAGCTTCTTCCCCAAACTTCCCTCTGTCAATAAGTGGTAGCAGTATCTTACCCTCTTCAGTTCCTCTCCTACTGCCAGGAGATATGTGCATGAGAAAGTAGGAAAGCATCAGATGATGGAACTACCTTTCTGTTGAACAGAGGTTAAAAAACCATCTGTTGGCATACATCTGCCAGTCCACTGCCATTCAGATCTCAGATTAAAAGTTCCACACTCTGGATGGCTGGATAAATGGCTGTCCAGCTGCTTTTTATAGTCCCTGCGTTGTTCAGCTGCTTTTGTAATGTCCAGGCATCCAATAGATTATTTTGCTTTCTTAATCAGAGGGACAGGATGTTCGTTCCCTTTCTGTGTCTCCATGTTGGACCTGATTGAGAGATTGAACCAGTGCACTGGAACTGCAATATATGCACTACACTGAGCATAGTTTATATTCTCCCTGGAAGTATTCTGTGCCACCTGCCATCTTCCGTTCTGCTTCCGTCAAAGAAACAGAGATGACTAGAAAATTAAAATGAAATCTGACTTTTTTTTTTAAATTTTCAAAGAATTTGTGTCTCACTCTCAAGGACCTAGCTAAATTTTAAGTGTGATTAGGGAATAGAACAGTATAAACACCCTTTAAATAAAAGCCAGCTTACCTTTCCCACATCTCTAGAGTGATTACTTCAACCCTAGTGATTAGCATTTATATTGCTGTTCTTTTGCATGCTAGGGCATGTCACAAGGATTTCTTTATGGACCAACCTGCAAATGAGAGAGGTTAAAATGTTACCAATTAGTATGAATAGTTGCCAGATCAAATAAATGTATTGATTGGGGATATAATTCATATTGAAATAGCTTTCTTAAAGCTGAATCTTCCATTTAATGAAGCAAAATTATCCTTGATAGCTATCTGAAGCAGCCATGTAAGACTTGTGTGAAAACTGATGTTGTCAGGGAGAAATTTATGGAAGAATATATAACTCTATTGGGGGCCCACTCAGTATGTGAGAATTGCACACATCTTTCATCTGAGGCTCTCTGATTACGTTAAGAAGGTGGATAAGAGGCATTATCCCCAATTAGTAGATGGGGAAACAAGCATGGAGAAAGCTAGGAGACTTGCCTGCGCTAGTACATGCAGGAAGAGGGAATAGTCAGGAATAGAACTCTGCATTTGTGTCTGGGTCTTCTGCAGCCTCATACATATTTCATTTTATATTTTTACAGTAGTCACTTTATTTACCAGTATTACATGTGCATTTGATCATAGCTAGACCTTGCCTATATCTCCCATTTAAAA